AATTTTCTTTAATTTCAAAAAATCCCTAACGATGGCTGGCTTATGGAAATGGTGGCCCTGCTCGGCAAGACAGCCACTGGCGGGGGGTGTGATCCGTGATTACTTTTGTGACTTTACAAAATAATCCACCATGATTTCATCCCACTATTGGGAGGATTACTTATCTTCATTTCCTTGACTATATCCTCACAAATCTCAGGTCCCATGAAATCACATAATCAAGCAACTAAACAAAAGGGATAATAGAATCACTAGGTGGAATCCCTCCTAATCATGGAAACCAAATGAGGCATGGGAAAAAAGGCCACGACATCAAGAAAAAGGCACGAAAATAATACGTATTAGAACTATGTTTTGTGTTAGAAATTTTCCCCCTTTGGAGAAATAAAAATAATTTCACTCTCCAACCAGTTAAACCTTTTGAAGCCAGAAGTATGTATTTTCAGTATCTGCAGTTATTGTTATTGCCTCATCCTCTTCTTCCAACATAACCCCTTCCTCTGCCTCTGTCACCTCTCCCGCCAGAAAACCGCCTGTTGGAAGAGCCGCCAAATCTTCCACTCCACTCTGCTCTTTCTTTCAAAGCCGGCAAACTTTTTACCGTTTCTAGACTTACACCAGCAGTATTTTGTTGGCCTGTGACATAAATCCAAATTAGTTCAGGAGGATAAAAAATTTCAGCAATCTGATTTACCATTAAATACAGAAAAAATTAAAATGACATTTACAATTATAGCACACCCCTGAAGCTTCCAGCTTATCTTTGCTCACTATAATTTCATGCGTGCATCCCGACTACCCTCTTAGCAGATTAAAATTTGTGAAATACAAACATGTTACGAGAGCACTAGTAAAATTAGAAACCACAATACATAAAAACACTTGCTACAAATTGTTTCGGTTTCACAATTAACAACCTTGAAAGGAGCGAATTGTAAAGTTAGGATTACATTCAAAAGGTTATATTTGTAACTGTGAACATTACTGATAGATATTACATAATACTAATTATGCCACATTTCAAATTCCTGAAATGTGCTTTTAAGATAAATTTAAGAAATAAATTTAGTGGTCAGGGAGCAATACAACATACAGCTCAAGTGTTGTACATAAGCCAGTCTGCAAATAATGAATAAATGCATGACTTATTCACTCCAAAAGTATATTTTCACCATTGTTCACCAAATATCAGTGTGAACTAAGTGTGAATCAAAGTGACCAACCTTCAAGGAAAGTGTCGAGATCATTGACAGCCACATCAAACACAGCTCCCCTGCCATCAGCAGTCAGGGCAACACCCTTGATTGACTCAACTATATCTTCCGGTAAAAATCTACTCAGAACTCCATAAGCAAAGCTGAAAAGACTAGGGGTTATGAGCAACTAAAGGAGACAGATGAACACAACCAGCCAAAGAAATATTTTCAACAAATTTCTCAAATATACTGGCCCCCACAGTCATGCTGCATGGAAGTTGATTAAAAAGAAATGAAAATAATATGAGATGAACACTAAACCACCATGTTGGAATATCACTTTGTGAGTTGTCCAAATGGATTTTATAGGGGAAAAATTGGCTTTTAAATGGAACCTCACTTAAGTTGAGGCACCTAGGCACACCCTCTATTGGTGTGTACAAAAGGCTTTCAGCTAATGTCCTCAAATATATTGTGTGAAATGAAAAATGTAACTTCAGATCATTGGCAACTACTTACGATTGAGTAGAAACGGGTCTTCCACACTCGAGTTTTACAGTAACATAGTTCTCCATAGAAGTGAGCAGCGAACGAGTCTTGATCTCAATATAGCCCTGCATAACATGAACACAAAAAACCGAGTGTCAACTATCAAATCAACCCAGCATGAGAAGTCAACGCTTACAGCAGCCTTGGCCAGCGCCTTAGCAAGTAAGTCAACTGGGGATAAATAGGAAGAGTTTAGAAGCTCTTCAGCTGCAGCCTTGAATACAGGAATCACACTACATGGTTTGAGTTAATAAGCATTAGATATATTATGTAAATGGTTAGGAGCAAAACGAAAAGGAAAAAAGAAAAAACAATAGGCAACAAAAACAAAACAATACCTATCTGATATCCCGTTTATTTTATCTGCAGCATCAGCAGCAGCAGTTTTTGCTATATCAGCTGGCTGTGGAGCAGATATATGTTCGAACTTGACACCTGATTCTCTTTCTATCCTAGAGAAATTTGACTTTTGGGATTCATAAAGCATCACAGCAACACCACTTTTCCCTGATAAAAGCAGAGCAAATCCATCTCTTAAATAAACTCCAACAGTACCTTCAAATTCAAATAAAATTATTTCAATCAGCAACTTACCGGCTCTCCCTGTTCTCCCAGACCGATGAATGTATGCCTCCACGTCACGAGGAGGCTCACACTGAAGTATGAGTAAGGATGTTATCATTCAAGTGTGATTTAAGGAAACCACAAAAATTGGAAAAAAAAAAGATCAAAAGAAACAATGGCTCATTGATCTACACACACCTGAATAATTAACTGCACGTCATCAATATCCAATCCTCGTGCCGCTACATTTGTAGCTACAAGAGTAAAAAATGTACCAGATCTAAATCCAGCAAGTGTAACCTGAAATCACCGAAGCATATTATAGACGATAAAAGTTTCCATTCGATCAAAGGCTTGCTTGGTAGTTACACTATCCTGAAAATCTTGCGAACCCTAACCCTACTACAAACACAAGTGACCATGAAGAATCTCACCTCACGAGTAGTCTGCTGGATTTCACCGTGAAAAGCACGAGCTCCAGGAAGTACTCCAGCAAGTGTGGAAGCAGAATTCTTGGTCTCAGTGAAAATAATAGTGCGACCACCACTGGATTAAATTTTAAAAAGGAGAACACCAATTAAGCAACAGAATGATAACATAACAAAGAGGCTCTGTTAGCTGATAAAGAAACACAACACAGACAGAAGCTGTTAAAGAAGCTTGAAAATTTATTATGGCATAGAAAAGACCGGACAGAAAAACCAACCTACTGTAGCAGCGAATGATATCAGGAATAAGCTGAGATCTAGCTGAAACAGAGCAAGGAAGAACAAGGTGCCTTACACTGGTGCTAGCCTTCATTTTGTCATTACCAACAAGGTCAGCAGTCTTCTTGTCCGGTTTTAAAAATTTTGCAGATGTCTAGCATCAAAACATACCAGTTATTAATAGAAGAAATAAGGATGCGTGCAGGCAACAGCAAACGATAAGATATTTCAGATGCTGAAACCATACTTGCTTAACCCATGGTGGCAAAGTGGCACTGAAAAGAAGCGTCTGTACTTTGCTGGCATCTTCTACCTTGCCTTAAGACATTCAGTAAAATAACATCAGGCACCATCAATCAATAAGCAGAGGCAATGTGCGACACCCATTGATACAATAAATGGAGTAGTGGAGGAGAGAGAAAGAGAAAAGCATACCTAGAATAAATTCAACATCTTCAACAAAACCCATTTTCAACATTTCATCGGCCTCATCAAGAACCCGGAACTTCAGTGCTCTAAAGTCAATACGTCCGTTCTGTAAGTGATCCTGCAAGATGATTTACATAAAATAAGGCAAACAGAAAATAATGAAAGCACGCACCTTAATGCGGCCAGGTGTGCCAACTACTATGTCAACACCCCTTTGTTGGATTTCAGTCGTACGAATCAATCGCACACGCAGCGGAATTTTAAAATTTTCTTACCAACAATGAAGATCCGGCTATAGCTATTCGATTTGATCATAGATCTGCGAGAACTTACAGTTTAAGCTTTGCCGTCAACTATGGTATCCACGCAATCCAAATCCCGATGCAGATCCAATGCAGTGAATCCTTTCCGGTGAAGACGCTAGGAATCCTCAGTCAGAAAGCAAAGAGAGTTTTTGAGTTTTTACGGCGTATCTCAATTATCTGATCTCCTACATCTGATATGAGATAACCGCCTATTTATAATTAGGCTAAACCTAATTATATGGGCTTTAAGATAACCTATAGCCCAATAGGCAATTGGACCTAATTCAATTAATGATATAATTAAGTCTAAGTCCAATTAAAACTTAATTATATATTTTCTATCGAATAGAAAATAATCTAATTATTAAAATTAAGTATTTCAATCTAATTGAATATTTAACACTCTCGATTCACTCTTAGACGGAAAATGGATTGCATATTGTGTGACCCTATAGGCCTTTGACATAAATCCGATTTATGATCCTCACGAAACTCCTAGACTGCGTCGAAGGACGAACTCAAAATATGAAGTACGTTTACATAGACAAAGCAAACAAACCTTTGGTGTAGAATTCAATAGTGATACGGTCCCTTCATTCACGAACCACTCGATTAAGCTTAGGATTTGAACGTGTGTCTATCCAAACAGCTTAATCATTTTATCTCATCTCACTGGTTGATTTTATCAATTATACTTGAACACTATTTCAAATATAATCACGTGCATTGGCCAATGACTTTATCAACCCAGTATAGAGAAAATGAGTGTTCTCTCGAAACTATATTCGAGGAATGAATCCTATCTTGGCTCACTACCAATTCCATGTATATCGTGACCTACCCAACACAAGCTCGTATCTACCCATAAGGGCGTAAGCTTTGGACTAGGTCTAAGTAAATCGCTCTATACATGAATTGCGTATTGACCTCAAGTCAAAGGACTATTACACCATTCCACACACCGATACTCCCATAGACACATAAACAAATGGTTTATCGGTAGGGTATACCAATACTCTCCAAAGTATCCATGTGTCCATCACGAATAACAATTATTCATAGTAGTGAGACATACTATATTCTCAAAGAATGTGATGCAGACCACATGTCAATCTATCACGTATCATTAATATCCCTTTTCTTAATGATCATCGATTGAGGTAATTTAAGAGTTATACTCTATCAATTAACATCTCACTCTGTTAATGACAGTATTAACTCAAGGGAGCCATTAATCAATAAATTACAGACAATCAAAAGAATTCATCAATTAATGCAAAACCATGAATATCATCAAATATAATATGAATGTGATCAAGTACATTTGTCCCAAAATTGATTGTCTCTAGGACACATATACTAACAATCTCCCACTTGAACTAGAGCCAATCACCAATGTATCTAATACCCAAATTCTCAAAATGATTATTGTGTTTTGCTATACACAATGGTTTGGTGAACGGGTCAGCCAAGTTGTGTTCAGTCTGAACATGTTCTATCTTTATTTCTCCTCTATCAACTATCTCTCTAATCAAGTGATAGCGCCTTGGTACATGCTTATTGCGATTGTTGGATCTTGGTTCCTTTGCCTGTGCAACTGCACCGGTGTTATCACAATATATAGATATTGGATTACTGGCACTTGGAACTACCCCTAGTTCTTTTAAGAACTCGTGTATCCAAACAGCCTCCTTTGCGGCTTCAGATGCAGCAATGTACTCGGCCTCAGTGGTTGAATCTGCAGTGGTTGCTTGCTTGGAACTATTCCAGCTCACTGCTCCACCATTGAAAATGAATGCATAACCCGACTGTGACTTAAAGTCATCATGGTCAGACTGGAAACTAGCATCAGCATACCCAGTAACTGCTAACTCGTTATTCCCACCATATATTAAGAAATATTCTTTAGTCCGTCTAAAGTACTTAAGAATAGTCTTAACGGCCTTCCAATGTTCCTCCCCAGGATTCTGTTGGAATCTGCCGGTGATACTAAGCGCATAAGCCACATCTGGCCTTGTACATGTCATGGCATACATGATAGATCCTATTGCCGAAGCATATGGTATCTTCTTCATGCGCTCAAGCTCAACATCAGTAGAAGGACAATCCTTCTTTGATAACTTGATGCCATGACCCATTGGAAGATTCCCTTTCTTATAATTTTCCATGGAAAAACGCCTTAGTACCTTATCTATGTAGGTGGACTGTGAAAGCCCCAACATTCTATTAGGCCTATCTCGATAGATCCTAATTCCAAGAATGTAGTGAGCTTCACCCAAGTCCTTCATCATGAAGGTACTTGATAACCAATCCTTCACTGACTGCATATGAGGAACACTGTTTCCCATTATCAGTATGTCATCTACATATATGACAAGAAAAACAGTAGTACTCTCATCGTGTTTACTATAAACACATGGATCCTCATTACTTCTTACAAAGCCAAAAGATTTAATGGCTTTGTCAAAACGGACATTCCAACTCCTAGAGGCTTGCTTAAGTCCATAAATGGACCTCTCTAGCTTGCATACTAATTTTGGATTTGACTTGGATATAAAACCTTCAGGTTGTATCATATATACATCCTCTTCCAAGTTCCCATTAAGGAAAGCGGTTTTAACATCCATCTGCCAAATATCATAGTCATGGTATGCAGCTATTGCAAGTAAAATCCGAATGGACTTAATTTTGGCAACTGGTGAAAAGGTCTCATCATAGTCAATGCCTTCACGTTGACTATAACCTTTTGCAACCAATCTAGCCTTATAGGTTTGTACTTTGCCATTTGCATCTGTTTTTCTTTTGAAAACCCATTTGCATCCAATTGGTCTAACCCCAGTTGGCAAATCGACCAAGTTCCAAACTTGATTTGTGTACATTGAGTCCATTTCAGATTTCATGGCTTCAAGCCACCTCTCCGAGTCCATGTCTGACACAGCCTCGTTGTAAGTCCTAGGCTCATCCTTATCAGGGATATCTATGTCGTCGTGATCCTCCAAGAGGAGAGACAATCTAATTGGTTCACGACGAGTCCTAGTCGACCTACGGAGTTCAATATTTTGCGTTTGTGGTTGTACATTTTGATTGTGAAGAGGTTCTTGCATGTTGGTTTGTTCAACGATTGGAGGGTTCTCAAGAATAACATTTTCATGTGTTTCTTGAGATGTGGCGTCCAAGCCATTAAGTGTTGGTTGTATATGAGTATGCTGCATTTCTGCAGTTTCCTCCATATTACTCCCGCTAGATAGAAATTGTTCGGCAACCGATAAATTTCCGTTAAGGGAATCACCAATATCTCCCTCCATGTCGTTGTCATTACCAAACGAGAAATCTTGAGCCTCAGTGTTATTTTGAGTTTCTTGAATTTCTTCAAGTTCTATCACAGCACGACCTTGTTCCTTGAAGACATAATCTTCTTCTAGAAACGTCGCCTGTCTAGAGACAATTACTCTATGTTCCCCAGGAAGATAGAAATAGTATCCTCGTGTTTCTTTCGGATACCCCACAAAATAACATTTCTCACTTTTAAATTCCAATTTATCAGTCAAAAGTTTCTTTACATATGCTGGGCAACCCCAGGCTCGCATATGTGAAAGTACAGGCCTCTTGCCATGCCACATCTCATATGGTGTCTTTGTAACTGATTTTGATGGAACTCTATTCAAAATGTAGATTGAGTTCAATAAAGCATAACCCCAAAGATATGTTGGAAGAGTTGAGAAACTTAGCATGGATCTAACCATATCCAATAAGGTTCGATTTCTCCTTTCAGAAACTCCATTCAATTGAGGAGTTCCAAGAGGTGTCCATTGCGATTGGACCCCATGAAGTTTCAAGTAATCAAGAAACTCTTTGCTCAAGTATTCTCCTCCTCGATCAGATCGAAGAGACTTGATACTTTTGCCAAGTTGTTTCTCTACTTCAGCTTTATACTCCTTGAATTTCTCACAGGCCTCTGATTTGTGTTTCATAAGATACACATAACCAAACCTTGAAAAATCATCAGTAAAGGTGATGAAGTACAAAAAACCTCCTCTAGCTTGAGTTCGAAATGGTCCACATACATCCGTGTGGATCAACTCAAGCACTTCTTTGGCTCGTGTCCCTTTCCCAGAAAAGGGCTTATTTGTCATCTTTCCTTTGAGACAAGATTCACAATTTCCATACGACTCAAAGTCGAATGGTGTTAAGTAATCTAATTTACTTAACCTTGCAATTCTCGTTTCATTGATGTGACCAAGTCTACAATGCCATAAGAAGGTGGGATTTTTCGGATTACTTAATTTAAGACGTTTGTTTTGTACATTTAGAATATCATGTCTACAATCAAGCACATATAAACCATTCACAAGAGGAGCATTCCCATAAGCAACACCATTAAACGAAAAATAACAATTATTATTAGCAAAATGGAAGGAAAACCCTTCAATGTCTAACATCGGAACGGAAATAATATTCCTCGTAATCGTGGGAACAAAATAACAATTATTCAGTTCTAGCTTGAGACCCGAGGGTAAGTCTAATCTATAAATCCCCACGCGTTCAGCAGCAACTCGTGCTCCATTCCCCACGCGCAGTTCGACTTCACCCGGTCTAACCACTCTGCTATTAGTGAGCCCCTGCACATTATTACAAATGTGTAAGCCACATCCGGTATCAAATACCCAGCAGTGCATATTACTTATAGACATATTTATTTCAATGACAAACATACCTGATGTGGCGTTCGCAGCACCTAGTGCCTTAAAGCGCTCACAATCTCTCTTCCAATGTCCTTTCTCCTTACAGAAGAGACATGTATCCTTGGACAATTTCGGCT